ATTTGACGTCATCTGATCCATAGAATCAATCTATTACCTAAAAGCGCAGTAAGGGGGAAAGTCATGATGAGGCATTTCTTGGGGCCAAGGCCCATCCAGTTGACTGTGAAATTTTCGACAAAGCACGCAACTGGTCTAGAACTAAACTGGAACTTAGCTAAAGCTCATTAACATTGTCAGATGATGAGGGTAGGAACAATATTTTACCTAACAAACTACGAGGAGAGCCTATCAGCACCAATTCCGGTATGACCGCCTCCTGGCTGCCGTCATTCCCGGTGGGGCGCTGGATATCCTCGGCCCCAGTATTTGCCCATATTAGCGCGTTGTGGGGAGAGCAAGAATAGCAGCAAGACATCAGCGGCATCCTTTACCCCAGAATTTTGTGCTTGAATGGTGGTAAGGAGTAGTATGATTCGAATCCAAAATCCAGAGATCAGCAGCTATGACTTGTTTTATATATTCTGGTTTTCTTCCACTATTCCCACTATTCCCAGGTACAACTACAGCTCCGATTGCATAATATGATCAATAAAGTCGTATCGTCCTTCTTCACTCTCATCCTCTCGTGACACCTCTACACAATCATGACGTTAGAAACTCTTCCAACAGAGCTCAGGATTCACATCCTAGAGTCTATGCCAGATGTTGAAACCCTCCACGATCTTATCCGAGTTTCCGCAGCATACCGGATCACCTACCGTTTCTCCCAAAAAAGCATTCTCGATCGCCTGGTACGAGAACACTATGGTGCAGTTGGGCTGGAAGAACCTATTATGGCCATTCAATCTGCCGGTCTCCATGCCGAGGAATCAGCCAACAAACAGAGGATAATCGAGGTTCTCGATCGCCAGCGCATCTCCGATTCAGTCCCCAGCAAGCTGAACCCCTCCGATAGTGTCGACCTTCTTCACCTTCATCAGACATTCCAGACGCTATTAGACCACCTTTGCTCGCATGCGAGACACCCGAGCCAAATCCAACCCCTTCCACGGCAGCAAACCGCTCCCTTGCGACTCTCACCAACGGAAAAGGCACGGATATTGCGAGCGTTGTGTCGGTTACAAACGTACTGCAACGTCTTTGGCGCACGAGAGTGGACAGAGCCGGCGGATGACCTCTGCAACCCGTCAATTCCCAAGCGGACGTCTTCCACCTGGTACAAAAACTTCACTATCCACCAGATGTGGCGGCTTTGTTTCGGCTCGATGGCTCCGTGGGAGGTGGAGGAGTTTGGATCTGTTTGGGTTCTCGTGCGGAACGAATACAAGCGCATGTTCGACGAAATTCAGCAGGAGTTTCCCCGTACAGATAGTCGCTGGAGGTCGCTGAGACCAGCTTCATTACCGGCCGATCCGTGTGAACTGTATCCCAGTTCTTCTGGTACGTTCTTTCCATCTGAGATACCTACGTCTTCGAAGCTGACAGGAAAATAGATGAGGCGAATGATTATAGTATCTACTTGAACCATCTCGTCCTCTTGGGTCCTACTTTCCTACATAAGGTCCTCTCCCAGAGCACGCGGGAAGATCGCTGGCGATTGTTGGCATGCAACGCGATATCTTCCAAATCCTCCTTCATGGACACAGTACAGGTCGTCCGGAATGCCTCGCCTCAACTGGGGTCCGTAGAAGGATATACGAACGATGACACTCTACAAGGGTTGCGGACGATGCCGGCCATCGACCAGCCCAATCCTGGTTGGAAGCAGCACTGGCACGGTCGGGATGTGACCGATTGTGAGATCTTCACACCCAGAACGACTGTTGGCTCGTCCGAAGATGCTCAATCACGGACATTTGGGCACTGCGCTGGCTGGGAATGGGGTTACGCACTATGGGACGCTGCGAGCTGACCTGACTCCAAGGAGGTTTTAATGATTAATGACATTGCATTGGGAAAAGAATATGGGAATAGCATCCTGCTTTGTACTTGCATGATAATCAGCCAACTAATACAAAAGTTGATTCCTTTTGCATCGTAACAGATAGCGTCACAGGGTGCCTATAACGGCCTCAGCATTGCTTCTTCAATCAAGCCATCCTTGGACGACAGCAGATAAGTACCATGAGGGAATAAGTCGGGTATTTGGCATCCAAGACCAAAGGCTAAAGCTCAAGATTCAACGTCTTGTCCGGAGATGAACCTGGAAAAGCCTAGACAAGTCCAATAACACAGGGTCGCTACAAGATTTGATTTTGCCCATCAAAAGCCTGGGTTAATAGGAGCTATATCCCATGGCTATTTTAGCTGTTGCACATGTCTCCAAGGTATGATGCCATCGACGATCACGATTCTGGCTGATATTTGTTGGGATGAGAACCGGATCTGCCTGTAATGAACGAGAAATGCGTATCGAACAGGCACATCAGGGAAATAAAAGGTCATTCAGATCTAATTGTCGTTGTCGGGCGGTCGCCAGAGCGTTAAGATAACTGATTGAGCGGTAGCGCGACGGTCTTTCATAATGATATGACCATTGCCCGAGCAATGCTTCCATAACCCTGACTGTTTCCCAAGAAGGGGCTGCCAATTCATCCAATCCCTGCTTGATCGGTAGCAATTTCTAGGACGAACCAGTATTAAATCATGATTCTCTTCGTTATTGCATGCGGGCGCGGGCGAACGTCATGTTGATTCCGATTATTTTTGTGGAGCAGCGGAAGCTACCGAGTCACTATGATGACGATCAACAAGAATATATAATCATGTATAGCAGGTTAATACTCATCACTTCACCATAAGCCGTGAAATGAATTGCTAAATCTAGGGAATTAAGAGTTAATAGATCCTTAGATAATAAGCTTCAAATAGTACTATATAGATATTCTAGCTCTAGAGAGAGTCCGGTCTCAGGGTGCCGAGAGAGCAGGAAAGGAGGCCAAGTTTATTCCTAGCAAGGGTAGTGATATTCTGGTCGGCAAGTGCCCGGCAACGGCTGTTTACAACCAGTGATCTTCCTTGTCCTGTCATCACTCATTAGAAGGTGATGGTTGTCGGATGGGAAGGATGGGAATGGAGCAGGGCGCGTATATGAGATTGCCAGAGCTTTTCGAAATTTAGATTGATTATTTCCTCATTGGTACCACATGCGTAGTTCAAATCATACTTTGATTGTATCATTCATGGAAAGAATTATATTACGGACGAGAGATGAACACGCCCATATCCCTAGTCATTGGGCGGCAGTGTGATCACATTGGGAGACGCTGTATTGCCCCCGACCCTTAAAAGCTAGATTGGGTTTTATTTACAGACAGGAGTCGAGCTTGGCTTTGAAGCTGCCGAAGATGGATTTGTTTGTGAACATCCATCTGTAACACCAAGCAGGAAATCATCGACCGCAGCATCATATGCCGCTCCGCAGTTCGAATCACTTGAATAGAGTGAGAATAAGCATTCGCGCAGAAGATACTCATCAATGCTGACACACCTTGTCCCTCCGCTTGCATTATTAAAATAGGAGCAGATATCATGAGAGAAGCAGTCTTGGGTATACGCATTACCAACTGCAGTGCCCGTGCATCCCCCGCCACATCGGCCATTGCAGGAATAGCTGAAACATGTGAATCATCCCATTAGCCAGACAGCATATAAGACGCCTTAACACTGGGAAGATTAAGCTCACTCTCCTATTCCAGCACTATTGGTGCCATAATTGCTCCCTACCACCCCGACAAAGGAACATCTCTGTCCGGCACTGTTGGTCCAAGTGGCTGTAGCAGTTGCCCCAACTTTCAGACAGGCGACTGATCGTTTGTTGACGGCCATTTCCAGTGTTGATGGCATTGCCTTGGTCAACAAAGGTAGGAGGATAAGTACCGTGCTAACATTGGCTATCATTCTCATGTCGGTGCACTTGTTTTTGGTATATTGCCGTTGTTGCTGGTAGACTTAGGAGGCGTCCAGACTTTATATAGAGCTTTATACAATGTTTAGCTCCGGAAAAGCCACATCCCTTTCACAGGTCACAAAGGCATATTTCGACTCATCTACTGGTGGGATCATAGGTACTCCCATGCGTGAATCCCGAGGCATGACAAACCTCGGAGATATTCTCGGAAGACGATTGCTCTAATTCCTGTCGCTATGCTTTGTGTTTCAGGAATAGTATGAGTTGACACCATATTCGTGCCAATGACGACTTACTTTTACATAGCCTCAGAGCACTCTTATGTTTTATTATTCCATATGCCGGGGCAAAACAAATATACTTTTCTACAAATAGTCCTTCAAGCACTAGTAGTCAGGTAATGCTCGAGATCCCGCTTTCTGCGTGAATCGACAAGGACGGTATTGCTGGCTTGATACTCCAACACGGCCAGAGATCTAGTCATCTTTTATTTTGACATAACCAATTCTGCCGTTGATTCCAATAGGTTTCCAACAGAAACCTCGCCATCAACTAGACCAGTGATATCTCCTTCATTGCAGTGTCTAGCGTCAAAGATGATCAAGGCCATTGCGGCCCCAGCAACTTCAATATTCAAGGTTGGAGTGTGTATGCACACGCAGTTCAGGTCCTCTTCCTCCATTTGCGGAGTTTTATACAGGGTACAAGCAGCCCGGATAAACATTGTAAGTTCGCTCGCCCACACTTGAAGACATTCAGTTTAATGTCGGGCTTCACCACCGTATTTGGTAAGACACCATAGAGCACTCCCCGCCTCCCCGCACAGTCTCTTCTCTGGAGAAGCACTCAATGCACCTTTGAACCATGAGAGATATAAAATTGCCATCCATGCCTGGCTGCATATTTGGGTGAAATGGTAAGCCAGAATTCACCCAGAGACCTGCTCATGATGATACTACTCTCTCTCTGGCTTTTGCGTTCTTTGCTCTGGGGTTCTGGAGGGTGATTCCATCTTCAGCATTGCGGCCAAACTTGCTCACGGAGTCTGCAATATCGCGCGCGCCAATCGGATGATGGACGCGGAATACCTCTTCCCAGGATTCTCTCTGGTCATCCCGGATACAGTCAGCAACCCAGACAATGACATATGCCTCTTGCAAGCTCAGAATGTTACTGCAACCTGCACCTATGGTGGCCCTACACCACTGCCACCAATTACACCATCACTCGACTCGCCCTCTATAAGTTGAACATCACAGTCGACTCTCTATGGACAGAAAACGCAAAGATCTTCAATCTGTCTTCGCCAGACGAGGTCCTGCCAGCCAACTCGTATCTCAAAGTCCCGCAATGTATGCCCAGCGTTTGTACCATTACCGCATTCGAATTCACCTACGGCGAGTTCAAGACCTGGCGGAGAAATATGGTACGACAGTGGGGCAGATCGTGACGCTAAACTTTCATTACAACTACAGCTCAGCTTTGGGAACAATCGCAGACGAAGCCCTGGGGCTGTCCTACCCCATAATTACACTGCCTGTCGGGCGCAGGGCGTTGGTCGATAACCCATCATCCAACCTTTGATCTCTCCATTGGAGTAGAGCGAGTTGGCGGCAGGACGAACACGATCCGCTCCTACGTGGAAGTCATGTAAATAGCAGAGCTTGTAGACTGAAGAATGGACGGGAATGCCGGGTAATGTTCCCTCCTGACTGACCGTCGTATCGAAATAGAATTTAAGGAGCTTTCAATAGATGTTAGGAGGTCAACATATCAAGTATGAAAAATCATGGCTCTAATACAAATGTCTAAAACGGACATGTCTATTTACAGTAATCTATTTACAAAAAATAAGGACTTAAGCGTCCGTATTGGCACAGCTGAAGCTGCTGCTGCTCTTATCATTATGGATGGCCGTGCCTGATGCATATAAGCCCAAGACACAGAGGGCCAGACCGAACAGGCCAATGGAGATGTTGAGGATGGTGAGCAAGATCTTTCGAGGGCTGGCGAACCACTGCCCATAGTTCAAATGAAGCCAGTAGACACCACTGAGCCCATAGCTGAACCAACTGGCGAAGAGCGCGCTCTACAGCTCAGTTAGCATAAGTCTCAAATGAACCGGGGGATAGAGCTTGACTTACGATCAACCCGTTCAGGTCACTGAACACAGGAATGGCCTCTGCGATGATCCAGGCGACAATCCAGCAAGACACACCGAGCCCGATCCAGATTCCGACAGAGCGTTTGCTTCGGCTGTGGATCAGATCTGACTTGTGGCAAAGACGGAAATAGATGTACTTGAGACCAACGTGGCCGTTGACCACACCAGCTCCAACAATCTAATAGTCAGTTAGCATGCATGCTCTAGTGGCAGAGGGAAAGAGTCAGAGACGCACCGTAGGAATGGCAATGCCGAAAGCAACCTTCTTCATCACAGGGCCCGCAGAAATCAGAGCCGGCGATGCTACGTCTTTGCCGACAAAGTAGTAAATCACCACGGCAGCAGTGAGATACAAGCAAATCTCAAAGGATTGAAGCATGAACAGCGACTTCTTGAAATCTCTGGGGGTTTCCATTTCGGCGATCAGGCCGAAAAAGGCAACGTGGGCGCAGTAGGCAAAAACTATGTTGGAAACAGCCTGGAATCCGGAGTAGAGAGTAGTATCGACTGTCGCCTCGATAATGCGGCCGGGGTGATCTTGCACACCCACAGAGATCATGGTAATCATGACGGCGCCAAAAATGCTGAGGAATGCTATAAGAGACAGATTAGTACCCACTCACGTCCTAGTTCCAAGCGGCCTCAATGGACTACTCACAGACAAACGAAATCCATGTCAGTCCCTTCATCGTGCGAGGGATCGAGAGGACGATGGAAATAACCATGCCAACGACACTAAAGACGATCGAGCAGGTGCCGTGCTCAGTGATAGTGTTCATCATGACCCGAAAAGTCAGGATATGGCTTCCCATGACAAAGATGAAAAATAAGAATTGACCAAGACCGAAGAGCTCCCGGCCAAAAGGTCCCATCAGGATCTCTCCGGCATCCGCAAGGTTCTGGATTTTTGGATATCTCTCTCTAAATAACCCAATATTGTATCCAGTGTATGTCGCAAGGAGACCGAGACCGACAATTAAAATGACAGCTCTGAAAGCATGTCAGTAACGAGAATAACTGTACCTTCGCAATTGAAGCACTTACGGGACAAGACCCAGAGTAGCCACAGCAGCTGGCAGGGATAGCACACCGAGCGACACGGATTCGCAAATCATGACTATACGGACAATGTTAGAGGCTGAAATAACGATCACATCAAGGAAGTTTCGTACGCAAGCCGCATTGCCTAGATTAACAAAAACGCAATGGTCAGCAAAGATCTGAGCCCACTGGGGAGATTGCCCAACACATACCACCACTTCAACGTCTTATATTTGATTTCTGCCGACTCCTCGTTTCCAAAGGCATCTGCAACCTGGCCAGTCTTAAGTTGGCCCTCCTCCTCATAGTCCGAGGTGTACTTGGTCTCTTCGACTTTCTCGTTCCTGTATGCAGGAGGGTTCACGTTGATGGCCTCCATGGTGTTTCGATTCGGTCACTAACAAGGGAGGCAGAGAGACCGGGCAAAGGCGCAACAAGTTTGGAAGAGAGTGACTGCAGTTCAGGGCGGATCGTCTGGATGATATATGACTCGACAATCAAGTTTTCATTACTCCGTACTGAGGTGCCGATCCACCCCGGTGTGAGGCGAAGTTCTCCGTACGCCCCATACTTTGGATTCTCTATACATAATGAAAATTGAATCGGACCCACCACAAAGCTTGGCTTCGGAGTTGGCCAACAAGTCCCATTCGTCCAAAAGGTCATTGGATGGATCTCCTCCGTGAAAAAAATTGGCCACTCGGACCGATATCGGGTATCCGTCGTCTATCGAGTCTGAAATGATTCTGGAATCTGTGGGAAACCGGTGACCAAGTTGGGGACTCCGCGTTTCATTTGTCAAGATCATCAATTTGTCATTTTCGCCTCCAGGGTTCCTGATTCCTTTTTAGAACTGCTGCCTACTTGGCTTAAGCCCAAGCCTTAAATTCTTTAGAGTTTGGCCGATGTAACACTAAATCCAGGATGATTTGCAGGATCCTTCGGCTCCTCGTGAAATACGACTGCAAAACTTTCCATATGGCATGATCGCACTCAACTGCTCTACTATGATTTCAATCTTGGTACCAGGTGCTTCCTTAATTTCTCTCTGTCCTCAGCATAATAAGCAAATATTTAATTACTATTTATTTCATATATGCAGTAATGACACAGGTAGTGTGTATAAATCAGAAGTTGATTAGAAAGCAGGTAGCAGGGCGGAAGAAACATATATTTGCCTCCACGTGACTGCGGAACACTCGGATGAGATCATGGCTATTGTTACTTGGAAGTTGACCAATCCAAGGCTTGGGAAAATTTCTACAATCTTTCAACGGCATAGAAAGATTTAACAGAGAGGATCACTGCAGTGAGACGGATAGCAGTGAGGAAAGAGGAGCATGATGGCCTTAAATGGCTGCCCAGGCCGATCGACAAAACGAAGATTGGCAGAAAGCAGAGGATATGGGAGCCGGGAAAGAGCCTATAGAGGTTTGTTCTATCGAGAGGAATCGCAGGATTCACGTCGTCTGGAGCCTATCTGACGCATAGACTGTATATAGATCACATCTGGAGCACAACACTCGTTTCAGGGCGGCAACTTATTGCAGCTATCTACTGGATTATATGGACACAAGAATTCGAAAACCCAAAGAATACATGCAGGAAGCGTATCAACCTATTCAAATCAGAGTTGGTTGTGTAGGTGGAAATGACAAGCATCTAAGACTGTGCAGCCGAGAGCTTGTTGGAGGTAAGCCCGTCCAGGCTTCGGCTGTGATCAGGGCTTCAGATTGGGTTATATCAGCAGACCCTAGCCAATTTCCACACAAATGACAGACTTGGTGTTAGGGTTAATTCAATGTCACTGGCCTGATGCTATCACCAGTCCAGTTGAGGCAGAATATCGACTCTTGAACCCCGCGGGATCAGCAAGAACACGGAGTGAGCATTTCAGGTGTACCGGGAACGTGCCTCCCCTAGAGGACATACGGGACCTGTTTGTGACCTAGCGAAGCGAGTCTAATGTCTAGGAGGCCTTGCAACCGTACGGGAAAGTTTGGTATCATTCGTTTGCCTCTGGGAACGTTAACGGTGTTTTTCTCCCCGCTATTCGGTACAATGCCAGGAGTTGGCGGGAGGATGCCGCCTCGACCTCGAATGGACTATACATTTGCCAGTTCATCTACGATTATCGTCATGCCGGCGGAGCCTCACCAGTGCGGTCTATTGAGTCAGCCGAGATCCTTTTTGACACAACGGAGTGGTGTGGTTTTGAATATATACCCAAGTGTTTAGCCTCATGGGAAAGGCGTCATAATTAACATGTCTTCATCCATGACATGCACACGAAGTAATATTTTTTAGTTAAGGCTATTATGACCGTAAGAAGAAAGTGTGGCTATGCCTACCCGTGTAGGAAAAGCATTCCCTAGGTCTCTGACCGTGGTAAAGATTGGTGGTTCATTCTTCCTAACTTTATGCATAATTCCGTTCCAGAACCGGCATTTAAAGCAACCATAATATCCTCATCTTATCTATTGTTGACGGATCGACTGTAGAATGACCTACCATTTAAGTCATATGGCATACGTAATGAACTTGATAATATAAGTAGCAAACGTTGCTCAGATTAACTGTGGAATATGTCTCAGTCTTGATGTAAGACAGTGCTGAACGATTCTTCTTGATCTTGGCTTCCACAATCAACAAAGTCAACAAAGACAACTTAAGATGCTTCGTCGAATCATAACAACCCATGATCCTAAAAGCGGCCGAGCTACCTTTAGCGACGCCATTAGTGAACAGGTATCATTCACTGGATTCCCTGTTCCACCGGGCAAGCCACCGGCGACAGACTATGCTCTGGCCTACAATACAAATGCATTCCCTGTGCAAGGGCTCTCCCCTCCAAGTTCTACAACCCCGGAGTCCAAAGCCAATCTCGATATTAAGCACTATCAGTCCCAGCTCTCACAGCCAATGCCTCTGAATCCGCCCAACGGCACATCCTGCATCATTATCGAGGTGCCACCGGGTTCAGCGGTTCCGATGCACCGAACCACAACTCTCGACTATACTGTTATAATAGACGGCACTACAGAACTAGTCCTTGATTCCGGAGAGAAAAAAATATTGAAAAGGGGTGATGTAATTGTTCAGCGAGGCACAGCTCACTCTTGGCGAAATTTGACTGAAAAGAATGACAATTCTGGTGTTTTGCGTATCTTCTTTGTGTTTCTGCCTATCGAAAAGGTGCAAATGGAAGGTGGAAAGGTCATTGATCAGGACTTGACGCTGTCTCTGCATGACGCTTAAATAATGCATCAGGGGCGTATCTTGTCAACTATTCTGTCTCTTATTTTCAATTTCTTTGCACCAGTCGTTTTGAGGTCCACTGGCAGTAATCACTCACTCTAATCACACTGTACTTCATAAGGGTCTCAATGGTCATGCTTCCACCACTCTTTATAGCCAATACACAAATTATTATGTCTGCCTTAACAGTGAAGCAATTCGTCTGAACTGAGCTGCCATGGTCTCTCAAGGTACGTTGATTTTGCCGGGGATTCAGAAGAGTAGTTCTAGGAGTGCAAGAGAGAGTTGGTCCCTGGTCCAGGAGTCATACTTACATAGTGCATTCACGTCACCACATTGCCTCAAGTACAAGCACACAATTATTCTCTCTTAGCATACTGGTCCAGGGCTAGGAAGAGCGATTTAATTTTGAGTTTCTCCACGGATTTCTTGCAGATGTCATTTTCATGAGAAACAGAGAGTGGAGTTTTGGGCTCCGCCCCCTCAATTAAGGAGGATTATTTAAACAAATAACAATCTTGATTTTATTGCAATCTGACTTAAACAGAAACATCTTCACTGCTGTGTAGTTTAAGTGCCCAGTTTTGACGAGAATATCTAAGACCCATGCGAGACATCCCGTCTTGCTAGTGCAACTCTTCTCTAATAAAGTAATGCTCAGAGCACAGTTAATGGGGGTGATCCTGGTGATGGAGGTGCAGAAAATTTTGTCTGGATGAAAACCTTCTGCATACCTGGGTCACGCTTATCGAATAAATCATAAACTCTCTCCATGTCCTCGAGCTTGTACCGGTGGGTGACCATATCCAGAGGGTGTATCTTGTCCTCCTGAATGTACTTCAACAGTTCTTTCCAGTATTTTTGTACAGGAGCTTGTCCATTGCCATGGAGCTTGATCCCAGTCTCCATTAAGGCACCGATGTTGAAGTGATTACACTGTATTGCAATGTCAGTGGAACTGCTACACCATAGGAAAGGTACCACATACATAACCTGCATAAACGCCTGTGATACCACAGCGTCCAAAGCCACGGACAGACATAAGCATTTCATTGACCAGTTCAGATGTATCCGTTTCCATGCCCAGTAATCTCTGAAAGTAATGGGCCCATCCTTTTTCATACTCACCAGCAGCACACTCAATTGCCACATCAGGTCCGTGGCCGTCGCACATTTTCTTCAGCGTTGAGGGAACAGATTCACCCTTTGAGAGGTTTGTAAAGTCAATTGTCTCCAGCTTGGGGAGAATCTTCTTGATAAAGTCTAGTCGCCATTTTCCCTGGCCGCCGTCAATGAGAATAACCCTCTTAGCACCATGGAAGAAGCTAAATTCAGCTGCCATTTGTCCAACTGGGCCAGCACCCCAGATTGCCACAGTGTCATCCTTCTTAACCCCAGTGTCGACAACGGCATTCCAAGATGTTCCCAGCACATCAGAAAGATAGAGCCCTTTTTCATCAGGAACATCATCAGGCAAGTGAAGGAGGTTCACATCGCCATAAGGGACGCGAACATATTCCGCCTGCCCACCAGCAAAGCCCCCAGTGAAGTGGGAGTATCCAAAGAAGCCTGAGATAGAGTTGAGTAAAACAAACTTACCAAGCTCACCATGGTGGTTTCAGGAGAGAACTCACCGGATGTTCGTTTCCCATACAGCTTCGTGGCACTCTCCCCCGTATTGGTCCGCTCACACATTGTGGCCAACCCCTGCTTGCAGTAATAACACTGTCCACAGGCAATTTGGAACGACGCTACAACGCGATCGCCCACTTTAACCTTCTGGACGCCCGGACCCACACTAACGACAATACCGCAGAACTCATGGCCGAGGATGTCACCTTTCTGCAGCTCAGGGATGGCCCCTGAATGTCGATAATGGATAGCGCGTCAGCAGATCCAGTGACACTTTATGCAGAGCCACGACATACCGTGGTACAGATGCAGGTCACTCCCACAAATAGTGCTGCCTGTGACCTTAACTATGGCATCACCAGGATCAATGACCTTTGGGCTGGCTGTCTCTACTATAACACAACATATATTAGCAGGAGGCTCGAACTATTTGAGGCTCGAAATGAAATGAAGATCACTGACCAACTTTAACTGTACGGTTCCCTTGCCATGTCAAGGCTCTCATCGTATGGCTTGGGTCGCCATATTTCTCCCCGTAATTGCTGACATGTGCGGTGATCGAGGTGGCCATTGTGTATTCCACGGAGGACTTCTGATTGAGTTGATTTCCTGCTTCTTCGTCTTAACAGTTAGAATTTCATCAGCTGAACTTTCTGTGAAAATCGCGATGAAGGTATGGTATTAATTATCTTGTTTTCAGTATCCCTGACTTGATGTCTACGTCGCTAGGTTTATATCTCGGCCAAATCTAGGTTGAGATTATGGACCTCACCTTGATGTCATACAAGTCATTAACCATATGAAGACGTACCTGGGGCGCTCAGGCTTAATGTTTTGTTCTGGGCCGGTTACAAACCATTGAATAATTATTTGCTCAGGGGGCGTCTGTTGAACACATTATTACATTACTATTTCTATTACGCCCGGAATAGTTGTCCAGACGTCTTCTTTATTTGAGTGGTCTTCTGATTGAGAAGTTCTTAAACAGTACAAACCTGGACACGCGAAACAGTAGAGTCAGGATAAGAAAAGCGTTATCTCTGTAGTAGAAATAATTTATTTTTGCTTGGCAGGTCTGATCATCAACAGCTACTTTGAGTACCTATGAGATTACAGATGAGTGCAGCTTAATCTCATGATATAGTTAAGCAAGAGGGTAGACCACATATAATATCCGTAGATCAGATGTAATATAGCGCAGATCATTGCATCGTATGGATATATCGGAGGGAGACCTAACTGCAAAGAGGAGCAAGGAGTAAAATTGAGCCAATCAATTCTTCGTGTAATGCAACAAGGCAAAAATGAAATTGCCCAGTAAATCTCCCCTTTCCGGTTCGAATAGACCAATTCTGAACGCAACCGGTTCCACAGACAAGCCCATCACGAGATCTCGAGGACACGGAATTGGTAGCAGGAGAGACTGAAGAGAGATGACTTCTCTTTGTCCAGACCCCAGGGCAACAGGAAGATCTGGTGTAAGCTTACATGGGCATCAAAAGTTGGTTTTTTGTCCTGGCTATGCTACGCAAGCCGGAAAGAACAGCGTGCTTGGTTCCCTGATTTCATGCCTGGAAACTTTTCACAGGACCGGGGTCCTCTCATCCCTCGTTGGCGAAGTTCACCACTCGTCTGAATCTACGACAAATTTGGCCAGCAGTGCAGTCCAGACTGGAGTCGTTTTCTGTTTGGTTCCGTACAATGACCGGCTGCCTAGTATGGATTATTTGACATGATGAGACTTTCTGTTTGTTATATCAGAAGAGACTCAATATGCAATCCCTCCCGCGCGCAGAACGTATACGAAATATCCAACCTGGCCGCAGACTGTCCACTGGCGACGTGTACCCAAGACATGGCCTCAATCCTCTGGCACACAGCAATTTGTTCCATGCTCTGTATCATTTGCCCCTGCCCAAACCCACCTTCTTCAATCTCAATTACCCGCTCAACCACCCTGGCCGCAGAGATGCTATCCCAAACCGCCTCCTGTGTCGGTTGTCGTCGCAGGATACCCAAGACCTCACGTCGGACCATGGGATGCCGGCATTTGACTCCTATTATGTAAAGCACGGGGATGATTCCAATCTCCGGCGTAAAAGTCGGCCTTAAAGACCCCGAATACCGCTCATGTGCCGCCGCTAAGTCGCCTGCCAAGGCCACGCATTGCTGGAACTGGGGCAGGAAGTTGTCGTAGTCCATTTCCCTACCAGGTCCGCAACAACTGAGGAGAGTGCATGCGATAGTATGTTGAAGGCGCAGCAGTGATACAAGCGGGTAAGTTTCGGAGTCTGTCTCATAGGATCTGCCTTGTTGCAGTGTGTTTTCGAAGGTACTCGACCACGTTTCCAACTGCCCGAGTACGGTATCCTTAAGTGACGAAAGTGACGGCGGCATCTTGACCATTGGGGACATTTGCTGCTCCGTGTTGCGCAGTCTCATTACCCGAGCGACGAGGGTCTGGAGGTGGTCAGCGGCTAGGTCGAGAGACCGAAAGGTACCATCAGAGGGTGGAAGCTGGGACATAAATGTCTCTCGGATGTCAACTGGAGTCCAGTCGACCAGAAACAATACAGCCTGCATGTCGAGACGGCGGATCTGTCTTGTGATCTGGCAGATAAGCGTGCGAACCCCTGAGGGTTCGGAATCGTCATAAGTACTGTGGTTGTTTAGTATAGCCTTGTCGATGCTGCGTGAGAGCTCCACACCTCCGCGCAGATGCTTCATTGCTTGTACGTAATTGCCAGCCAGATGATCAAAGCAGGTGAAGAGATAGCAGACCAAAAGCGTGACGGCTGTTATTTCGATGCTGTCGCCATTTTCCTGGTTCAAAAGAAGGCGAATGGCACGATTATAGTGAAACAAGGGAGCATTATCCCGTAGCCAGTCTCTCGAAGATTGCGATTGCTGCACACGGTCGCTAGAATCGCGATACAGGTAGTTTCGGTGGATCAAGGCCAGAGCAATGGCGGCATACCGCACCGATGGCACTGTTTGGGAGAAGAATATGAGAGTCTTACGCCATGATTCGCAGGGGCGATATTCATTCAGATGCTTGATCGAAATATACTCGAAAAACCATATTGCCTCTGCCTGAGCTGACCCAGTCACTGGTAAGATCATCAAGGGTCCGAGATTCCGCCAAATGAGGCTATGGTATTTCGAGTACCACTTTTTGGGATGATACGCACTGATCCTGGTGCAAGGGTGGTAACTGTCGCAGCTCTCCGCTCTGTCGGCCTTCTCATTGTGATGATGACTTGATTCAATCTCGGTCTTCTCGTTCTTGAAAGCGAGGGGCATTTCACTATAGCGGTCACAGGTGCGACCTGTGGACTGGCATTTCAAGCATGAAGGCCGAGATAGATCGCATTTTATTCGTCTTATCCTGAGAGGTGCACCGAGGCCGAGTGTCACTTTTTGGATCTCTGAACACAATTCATCGCTATGTAGCAATACACGGAGTCAAGACTCACTTGCACGTCTTACAGCCCAGTCTTGACTTTGGAGCGAACTTGCGAGGCTTTCTTCTCCAAGCTTGGTTAGCCGTCTTGGTGTTCTCCTTAAAGTCGTCCATCGTTTTGATGTTAGCTGGCCAAGGGTTGCAGTTCGCGCCGTTTTAAGCAGTGGGCACTCCCGGGGCCAGTACGACCCATAAGCCGCCACGTGCATGCAGCATTCGCTTCGAAAAGCAAACTATGTTGGGCGCCAGTCAGAAGGATTGTCTATTTGTCTGTTCGTATGCCAGCGGGGAAGTCATCTCCCACTTCCTTTGCGATGGACACTTGAATGAGAAAGGACGGACAGTGCAAGAAAAGAAGGTCGGAAATCAATCAAAACAGCCCAAAGATAGACCAACCATGAGAAATCCTGGTACAGATTAGTGCTTTTCGTGGTAAACGTTGATTGGCTAGTTCGTACAAGCGGGGCATCATGGAAGGAGAGCGCCCAATCATGGAGAAGCCCGAATAGTGATAAACCCTGATAGAGACTAGTGCACAACTCTACCTATTCAATTCTGGTGAGGAGGGGGGTTCAATACAACAGTGTGATGGGTAGACATCTCTCTATGGATCTCTACTTATGCTATACTCTAGTCCACATGCAGACAGTGTATTCAGAGCCTGACCTCACTTGAGATTCGGCAGTGAGTAAAGCCTCAGACCCACTTATACTCCGAGAAGGGTAAGAGGTAAGAATTCATGTCTGCATCCCCCGTAGTGAAACCTGGTGGTGGATATTGATTGGCTAGTTCGTACACGCGGAGCGCCCAAAGAATGTGCACAATAGGTGTTGTATGTTGATAGGAAGAATGCGACTGCCTACAGAGTGTAGCAATTGAATCCGGCAGAATTAATTAACAAGTCTCTTAAGAAATTCAACTGGTATAAATAGTTCCCTGATATCGCAACTGTGCTGGCTACAATGGTAGTTCTTGCAAGCAATATGACAGAAAGCTCAATGAGAAACCTTTTGGGGATAACAATGACACAACTAGTGAATGCACTGATTCTTTTCATGAGCTTGGGATGCAAAGCCCATGTCTGGCATGATCCGGGCATAGCATATGGATTTGAAAACGTGACTTTGCCAAACCACATCCTCTAAGGTTTTCAAACTTTCTGACTAGCCATCTAGATTGAGCCATCAGCGAACCTCAAGTGGACACCATGTTTCGATGACTTTACATGCTCTAGGCTTCAGGTTCCTTTGGATTATTCAAACAGAAGTCTTGGCACGACGTCAATCGCCTTCATAAAACTGGCTGGGAAGAATGCCACCGCCGAGTCTCCAAGCATTGTAATCAACCCCGGTAAGATCTCGATCAGATCGATCATACAAAGTTGCCTGACTCTCATATGACTGGACTGACACCTCGTCAGGCGGTCCGGGTGTTTCAGGTGTCAATCTCCTCCTCACATACCGTACTGTCGCAGGGCAAATGTTCGGAGAGCATTACAACTTCGTCTCCTTTGACCCTCGCGGTGTGAACAACAGTGATTTGCGCCTCGACTGCTTCTCAGGGAAATCAGAAGCAAGATTGGCCTTCAGTCGACTGCACAGTACAGGCGCTACCAACATCTCATCGACCTCGCTTGAAGAACAGTACTATTCAAGCTCTATCTATGGAGAGTGGTGCAACAATGCTGTCGACAACGAGTCACCTCATGGTTATTATGTGACCACACCGGCGGTCGCCCATGATTTGCTCACATTTATAGAAGCTGAGGCTGAGGCGGTCGGTCAGTCACCAGCAGACGCCAAATTGTGGTGTTATGGCATTAGTTACGGCACTGTCATCGGCAGCACTTTCGCTTCCATGTTTCCGGAACGAGTTGGGAGAATGATACTAGATGGTGTTGTGAACGCAGAGCAATATTATAACAATGAATGGAGGGACAACGTTAACCAAATGGACGAGGCCATGAAAAGATTCTCGAGCTTCTGCCATTCCGCAGGTCCCGGAAAGTGTTCCTTCTGGGGACCCACGCCAGCTAACATCACGGCCAAACTGGACGGCATGATCCACCAGCTTCAGAACCATCCGGTCCCGGTAAGCGGAGCCCGAAGTCGAGACCTACCGACACTGGTCACCTATTCAGACCTGAAGGCTCTCTTCCTCAACACTGTCTACGCCCCACTGGAGAAATTCCCTGTCATGGCAGACATCCTACACCAGCTCGAGCGTGGGGACGTGTCTGCTCTTGCAGGCATGTTTGACGGATTAAATTCTATATCCGACGCCCGTCTAGCCATTCAGTGCGCCGATTCGTATCGGAGAAACGGGCTTACTACCATGGAAGAATTTAAGAGTTACGTCGCGTACACAACCTCCAAGAGCAAGTACATCGGTGATATTTACCCCATCTACCAAGACAATATCTTGTGCAGATCATTCCGACCGAAATTGCCTGATAACATGATGGTTCAAGGTAGGCATCTTTTTCTGTCTCTCTCTCTCGACTTTATCTTGGGAAAGTTAAATATACATCAGATCCATCGGAAGCAAAATCTTACCAGTTTTTGTTTATGCAGGCCCAATAAGTGGACTAGACAGGCCTACGTCCTTCCCAATCCTTTTTGCGAGTAATACCATCGACCCTATAACGCCCTTGAAATCGTACGTTTCGGTCAACTGGTCTCGCCATCTGGTATGTTGCTAATTGGCTTGACCTCTTCGCAGGGCGCGCAAGATGTCTTCTCAGTTTGCCGGGTCGGTACTCCTACTGCAAGAAGCTGTTGGTGTAAGTTGTTATCATATCTCAATCACACAACCACCTCAAACAAGAGTCTAGGCTTACTCGTGGGATGTCCCCGTCGAATACAGCATACAGTCATCGACCAGCGAGGGTCAAATTGTTACTTTGGACATGTTCAGGCATACCTTCAAGGCATAGTTCCACCGTCCAACATGACATGCCCGCAGCAGTACATACCTTTCATAGATGGCCCTGTTTAAAAATTGTTCATGCGCGGATACAAGCATTTATGGCAGCTCACGGCGCTCTCAGAGGAAATTCAGACTGCTTCCTTTCATGGTCGTCAAATTCTTCTCTTCTCTGGCAGGTATGATAATGATAATAACAATAGGGTTTCACTTCATTGATTAATTATAACCTAACTAAAAATTCAATTATTTATTGCTATAATAGTAATAAGTGTGTGCGGGGAATTTGTCGGAGGGTGTGACCGATTGTGCCGCTGGCATTCTACGTTATGTTTGTGCTTACGACGGTATGGTTATGAGAAGTAGAAGAATGATTGCTGTACCCGACTGAATGCTATTTTTATGCTCGATAAAAGCCATACCACATTGTCTCCGTCTCCGGCTCTGGCTGAGAATAGCCATCCCACATTGTCTCAGTCCCAGGCTCTGTCTGTCCTGGCTGAGAATAGCCATCCCAC